TGGGAGAGAGAACCCAGTATGCATTTCCTGTGAAGGCAATTAGAATAAAATAGGGAGTGTTTAGTCTCTGGTATCACAGGAGTTACTTACAGGAACGTGGAGGTTGGCTTCTTTCCAAGAAGCAGAAGTGCCATTCTAAGCGAGTTTCATGGCGAGAACATAGCCTAATGATGGTCCAAGGGAAGTGTATGAATGATGTTTTGGGGTGAGTGGTAGGTAAGATCTTGCCCTACCTCAACTCATTCTCTGAGATTAGAGAGGTCTCCAAATCACCTAATTTCATTTAAGAAACAACCATGGTTTTGTTATTACTGGATTAATCTAAAAATGTTGGGAGTCTATTTTTATTTCTGGCTATATACCCTTTGAGGTAAAATCTTATGGCAAGTTTGTTACCTGCTGGGCTGTGTAGAACTGCCTTTGATTAGTCAGAGTCTGCCTTCTCTCTTGCTTCCGGTGGAACCCCCTCATTCTGATATTTCAAGATTTGTTGGCCAAATCCTTTTTTCTGTAATTCACACCAGTCATGATTGTATATTATTTGCTCATACCTCTAAGTTCATCTTTTTATTATGTTAATTTGTTTGGCTAGTTTCTCCCCATACAGCTGGACCCTTGTCTCCGTCCTTACTCAGGTTTTCCCTTTCTTCAGCTCTCACCTGCCTGGTGCATGGAACTGGACCTGAGCTTGAACTTCGGGAGCTGATGCTCTATGATATGGATGAAGGAATGAGGAGTTTTTCCTTACAGGATACCACAAGCACACCTAAGCCACCTGGTCAGGAAACCTAGCAGTGGGTCCCCAGCCCCTCCTCATGGCCAGGCTCCTCGACCAACAAACATTATTTGTTTTGGTTTGACTATAGCATCTCCTGTCACACCTGATCCTTCATATAGATTTTGAGAGAGCTTCCTGAAAGTTCTCATGATCCATCAGAGCGAGGGATGCTGGGTGATCTAGCATCTTCCATCCTGGCCCTGTAAAGTTCAGGTTGTTGGCTGAAGTTAGTTCTTGGGACCTAGGGCTTCACAAAGCCAGCTGGCAGAATGCACATGGCCTGTGCTCCAGTTCCGGGCATGCCCCTTGCCTGCCAGTGCCCTGCCAGCTGATTCTCCCTGACTTGCCAGACTCTGGACTTTGCCAGCGTAGATGTTCTCTCTGTTGCCCATCACCTCTCCAAATGGCCTCTTTTTCTTTACAGTCACACTGCTCATAAGATGTCTTATGCATGCTGGGTTTCCTCCCCCACCTTCTTCAAACCACTGTAGTTCAATTCCCACACTCACCACTCCTCTGAGGATGATCTAACTACAGTCATCAGTGACCTGCTAATTGCTAATCCCAGTGGGCACATTTCAGTTGTTGGAATGCTGCTGCGTTTGAAATGGTGATCACCACTTCCTACTCCCTTGCTCTTTGTGATACCGAGTCTCATTCTGCTTTTTCTTTTTCATGGGTTGCTTTTCTTCTACTTGCCCCTTAAATGTTGGTGTTTCTTACATTACAGAGCTGACCTACTGCTTCTCTCACTGACTCATTTTCCCCAAGTTATCTTCTCCACTCTCAAGATTCACCATCCTCCAACATGCTGTTAATTCCAAATCCATATTCCAGCCCAGAATTCTGCTGAGCAACCACCTCGCCACCTGGATGGGTGAAGGTCTCCTGAAATTCAACATGCCCCAAACTGGAGTCATTGTTCAGGCCTTTACACTTGTTGCTGTTCCTTTGTCTGAAATATTCTCCTCATGGGTCCCATACAGCTCATCTCTCACTTCATGTAACCCCTCTGGTCAATCAGCATCTTCTCAGAAAGACCCCATATGTACCTTTTTCTTCCCTGGCTTTATTTTTCTTCAGAGCACATATATCTGAATTTATGTAATTTTTTTTACTTGTTTACTGTTTGCCCCTTCCCTCTAAAAAGTAAGCTCTATTTATCTGTTTTGCTCAATATTTTGTATGTAATATCTGGACCAATATCTGGTGCCCAAATAGAAAGTGAATGAAAAAATCATCCCCCAACCCAAGACTGGCTTCTGTATTTTTTATTTCAATGGTTGACACCACCCCCACCCCCAGTCACTCAAATCAGAAACTTGGAGTAATTCCAGAAACTTCCATTACCATCACCACACCCCAACTCTCCACACATAACAGTGGCCAGTTTTACCTCATAATTATTTCTCAAATCTGTCTCCCGTCTCTACTCCTATGACTACAATCTTATTTCAGACCATCAAACCTTTCCCTTATATTATTGCATCTCCCAATGCGTTTCCTGCCTCTGTTTTTAACCACCCAAATTCAGCCTCAACAGAAGCCAGAGTGGTTTCTAAACAGCAGATCTGACCCTGCTGCTTTCCTTTGTAAAACTCTTCCTTGGTCCCAATTAACTACAAGACCAAGGCCAGGCTCCTTAGCATAACATAATGAGACTAATCTGGTCACACACTGTGCCTTTCCTCACACTATACTCACAGTAGAGTTTGATGCATAGTTTCTCGCCTCTGTACCTCAGTTGCCCCCTCAGCCTAGAATGATTCTCCTTGCCCTGTGCCTCCTCCCCTCTGGAGGATTCTTCCTTATTTTTCTGTTAAGCCTCAGCTTTGGAGTCACTTAAATTCTCTGAGCTCTTGTGCATTTTCCCTTTCACTGTACCTGCACTTAAAACAACTGTCCGTGTGTCTGCCTCTTTCATTAGATTGTGGACTCATTGAAGGAAAGGGTTTTATGTTATTCATCTTTCTATCCCCTTCTCTAACTCGGTCACGGAGGCATAACAGGTACTTGATAAATGTTTGAATGGATGAAAGAAGAGTGAATGACCTGTCTACATAAGTGTTTCTGGCTGAATTCTGGTCATTGTCATCAAGTTAAGGCACAGAATTGCATTTCTAAAACCTGAAAGATATTAGTGTGATCTGAAAAATTGGAATTCATTATGTGTATGCTGCAGAGCAATCTGTTTACACTTGTCAGAAAGCGCCCATGTTTTACCTTCCCCGTTTGTCCTATTAAAACCAAAAATCAACTTAACAATCACGAAAAAGAAAAAAGAAGGGGAAACAAGGAACACTGGGAGATTACATCCATTGGTTTCTTTAGCTTATGAATCTGAAGGTTTTTCTCAAACAAGAACAGAAGGAGATTTTTGCAACAGTAAAGTAATTGTGTTTTTATAATAATATTTATTGTGTTAGGCAGGTGGGTAATATGGCTTAGTGGATAATTTCTCAAGGATTAGTATATGCTTAGTTGGAAGTTAATGCTTCTTTTCCCAGAGTACATGCTAGATTTGCGTTTTCAATGTGAAAACAAATGTTTCTGTTTTTATAGAATTTTATCATCAACTTGTTAGAATTTATACCCAGAATATTTTGAGTTGAATGATTTGTCACAGTGGCATGTAAAGATTCATTTAAAAAGGCACTGTGCTGATGATGCTGTAGTCTCTTGTTCTACACTAGAAATGTGGAACATTTCTTAAATGGCTGAAAAAACCCATTCCCAATCTGAAGTATGTGCTTGAATCTGCGCAGTAGTTTTAACACTTGGGTTTCCTGAACACTGAGTTTCTACGGCATTGTCTTGGGGCCACCTACAGGTGGGCTTAAGGGGCAAAACTGAAGCTGTACCTCATTCCCTCAGCCAGAGCAGCAACACTGACCCTTGGTTTATAGAGGGTGGTTCTTCATCATGTTTCACTTGATATTATATCTGACTTGATTTGTCTGTACATGAATATAGCTGGATTTGTGTTCTATAATAGGAAATAATAAGTGAACAAAACTAGGTATAATTTCATGTAGTAAGATTCCAAATGGCTCCAAAGGAGTGAAAAACATAAAAGATCTTTTAGATTCTCACATTCTAACTCTTAAAAGTAGAAGCAAGGGAGAGACCTCACTATCTCCAAATTAGTACTGATGAGCACAAATTTAAAGGGTTATGGGCACACAGATGAAGGGGCCAGGCAGCTATACATGTAGGAACGTTAAGGAGGCATATATTGTGAAGATATTTCAGGAATGCTGACAGCCAGAATGAACTGATATTTTGAAAACGTCCAAAGAATAATTAGAAATGTATTATTTTAATTTATGTTCAAACCAAGAAGAGAGACATCTCCTTTTCCAGAGAGAGGCAGTAATGATAACAGATGCCAGGAGACATGCAATAGTGGCAGGAGCAATGCCAGCAGATAGAGTTGGGCAGATGGCCCGGTCTTCACAGTGGAGGATACGTGAAATCTAGAAATCCAAGGCTTGTGAGCTTGGTGTCCATCCCTGGCAAAGTCCTAAGCCAATTTAGCAGATGGCTTGTGAGCATGTAGAAAAGGTGTTCCAGAGTTAGCTTATTAAGACCAAGTCATAGTAAACTTCCGGTGCTTCTCTTATTGGTAGAGACACTCAACTTTAGCAAGATTTGTGTTAGGCTGTTTATGATAACCAACACATGTACTGTTTTCACTGGCAACAAAGAAACTGAGTTGGGGAAAGCAGGTGTGGGTGGGGTACAGCTCATGTCAGCTGAAAGGAAAAGCCAGACAGGCAGGAAGTACCTCCTTACAGCCAGCTTGATAAAACCAGTTACAATCTCCTTAAGAAAGCAGTGGCAAGCTTAGATAAGTTTACCATGTTTGTGTGCAGAGTGTTCCATAATTCTGAATTTCTCAAACTGAGAACCATGATCGCCTCCTACCTTCAGAGATACTTGGGGGTGCTTATTTAAAACAGATTACTCACCCAGAATCAGGATCCCCGGAGGCACTTTTAACAAGCTTCCCGGACAATTATCAAGCACACATAGATTTTAGAATTATTGCTTCAAAGATCATTTGCTGTGAAGAAAGTTACCCAGTTAGAGAAATATAGGAATTCTTTAACTGTTTTATAAGAAGATTCATTTTTTTTGTTTTTGGTATATTATTGTGACCCAGAAATTTCTGATCTTCCGCTGCATCTAATTCCTCAGGGTCAAGCCCAACCCTGTTGCCATCTGGTGACAGCCACTTATGCTGCAAAAGCAGGACTGATGAGGCAAATCTTTTGAGTTCTACATTCTGGGAATTCTGCATCAGGTAAAGAGCCGTGGGGCATACTAGAAAAAACTTAATTCTGTACAGTTTTTTGAGAACACCAGTTTCCATGCTCCCTGGATTGGGGACAGTGGTGTATCAGTACATGTGTTAACAACCAGTTCTCCAGAACAAAAAATGACTGCATAGATATATGCACATAAGTTTATTATAAATGTTACTCATATAAAGGATGTACAGCACAAAATTTATAATAAAATACATACTGTGCTTCATTGATTACATTACAATTGATTCTCACAGAATGTTTTCTTTGATTTTCCAAATGCCTGTATCCATAGCAACCTTTGGATGCAACTGACAAATGATGTAGGTCGGACATGCATGTTGGTTGATAGTTTCATTTACGTTAACAAGATGAAAGTGAAACAATAATGACACATGTCAGAACTTTATTTGTTCATTGATAATGTGATCAGTTTCTTTGTTGAGTCAGATAATAGTTTTTGAATACTGGAAGACTATATCCCTAATTTTCTGTGCTGTTCACAATGTAATGGCTGCAAATGTGACACTTTTGAACTGTGTTATTAACATTTTCTCTCTCACTTTCATAAGCCATCATTTTCATAAAACAACAACAAAATAATAAATCAAGCTGATTTGTGGTGTTTGCAATTCCTGTGGTGTAAATACTCCCAACATGGCCCATTTCAAGCTATGTGACATTGCTGAACGCGGAGTTGGGAAGAGATGCACAGTAGCACATCATTATCTAATATTTCCATTACTCAGCTACTATAGATGTAAATTACCCTGAGAACATAGGTAATGGTAAAATGTAAAATGAGTAGATGATGTCTTTTGAGTATTTTTTTACCTTCATTTTCAATATAATTTATTTAATTGTAAGTTTATATAGTTTATTATTATTTTTTAATAATGGCTGTGTTTAATAACTAGCTCTGAAAATTCCTGAAAATTTAACAGTTGGCTCTTATGAGCTTTTGAGAGCTGGCTCTAGCCCATTACTGAATAGGGGCAAGTTTTCTGAACTTACAGATATCTGACAAGGTTATGTCCCTACTTCTATGTAGGAACACAGATATATGTAGGCACATTTTCATACTTGCGTAAAAATGCAGCTCTTCCAAACCAGAGTATAACAGTAACATGCCTGACAAATATTTCCCGCCCTGGGCATCAGAGTGGAGAGGAATTCCTAAACAAATGAGGTCAGATCCATTAGAACAGGTTTCTCCTGTCACGTCTGGGAAACTATGACTCATGTTCTTTGCTAGCTGTGCGTTTTGCATCAGTAGATATTCTGACATGTAAAGGCACCTCCCTTGTATTGCATCCTGCTGATTTTAGCAAAACTGTTTTTGATACCTTGACACTCCACGAGCCCTTCTGAGTACAGTGATGTTATGATATTATTGCTTTTTGCTTTTCCATTTTCTTTCTTCTACACGTATTTTGTAAAACAGCAATCAGTTTGTAATTAAAGTTTGATGGCAGCCTGGCTGTGGCCACGAGAGTAGATTTTTGGAGCTGTTTGCTCAGATCCAGATATAGGACATTTATGTGAAGTTTATAAGTTTTTGGAGCTGAAAGTTTGAGGCTACCTGCCACATGCAAAGATAGGATTTGAGCCACCACCTTTACATAAATTCTTTTTAAAAACAGACTATGCTATAGAGTATTTTTTCTTTGATAGAATTTTTGAATAGTCATGGAATAAGTAAAATGCCTCCAATGCACAATTGTATTCTCCCTTCCTGTTTTCTCAGTGTTATGCTTGCAAGCACATTGTTAAATAATTTCATTCTGCTCCCCAAGAGCATTTCCTGAAGTGTGTTTGAATTTCACACTTGGGCTGTATCAATATTTTCTGGACTGACCCTTGTAATTACATCACAGGGGCCTACTTAAACAGAACTTTGCTTGCTGAACAATTATAAAGACAAAATGGCTTTAAGTTGCTAATTGTTCTTTCCTGCTGTGGATATGGGCTATGACCCAGCAACTTGGCTGCTATTTCAGCCTTAAGAGATCTCCTACAGGCCCTCAGACACTACCTCAAGTAAAAATTGTTATAGAGTCCACTGATTCTTAATTGGGGTAAGGAAGCTTCTCTCCTAATATTGTAATAAAATTTTCATTTGTAAAATGCAAAAATCAACTTTTTTTTCCATATTATAAGAAACATAAAGTAAAACCAAACAATCTTTTGGCTGGAGGGAGTTGCCAAACCCCTTTCAGAGCATCGATGCCATCTTTCCATTTTTCTCTTGAAGTCAAGTCATTGTGTACAGAAGATCTCTTAGTGTATATGTGCAGCCGATTCCATGGTTCTGGTTCAGGGCAAACAATGGAACCACGATCTAGGGTTTCTTTAAAATACCCTTTGGCCAGGTTGGTATGGAGGTGTGAGTTCATAGAGGCAGGCAGGTAGACAGATGGCAGGGGAGGCACGCTCGGCTCCACAGTGCCCGATGACACGCAGGTGTGCACCTCCCAGGACACTGTGCACAGGCACCAACTCAGGGCCAACTTTGGTGGCTGTCTGGGTCCTCTACCCCGGGGTAGCCTGTAGGCCACGCTTACTGAAGAGAGAGAGAGAGAAGCTTAAATTCTTACCTATGGGTCCACCACCAAAGGCAACCATTTCTACTTACCCTTTCCTAGGTTAGGTTTCCTGCCATTCCCTCCGTAGAGTAAATCATGTATTTGTACTTCAATTTTTTGTTTACCAACTTTAGACAACATATGAGTAGAGTAAACAAGATGAGGAATTTTCTCATTTCCAATTTTTATTCATTATGTAGTTTTGGGTTCTTTTATTGGTTACATTTTAAACTTAAAAAAATTAAAATTTTCATTTCCTATTGTATCAATCTTAGATATTATCTCTGGACTCACCACTGTGTAGAATGAGGATATTGGTCAGCTCTTATGCTGTTATTATACTGCGATGGTAAACTTTTACATTGTGTATTATTATAATTAAGCCACCCATGTTTTGTCTATATGTTAATTATAACCGTTATATACCCTCAAACTGTGTTTATGGTACATTTGAAGCTTTCTTAACCGACTCCAAGATATCTGACTGGCCAGAAGTATCAGGGCTTTCCATTTATTCTAGAAAACTTTTCAAGAGATGACATGACACGCTGAGTGCTCACAGATAGCAGATTCACAACTATTCTCATGTACTTCTGCTCCCATAAGTTAAGCTGAATGATTACAAGAAGTTATTTTTGTTCCCAAAGTTGCTTATTTTGTTGTATTATTAAGTATTACATATACTGACAAAATATGGATACTAAAAGAGAATTGTTTCTATGAAAATGGAATCAAATTCTTTGTAAGACTCAATAAAGGCAAGTTATTTTTTTTTTAAATGTCAGTGAATTAGGAATGCAGGAGCAACTGTGAAAGATTGAAAACTGCTAAAAATCTGAAAGGATTCTCCTCTCAGATTGCTCCATAAATATCCTTAACTTCTTATTCTACTTTAAAGAAATGCAATTTGGACACAAGTGCATTATGTGTATTTTTGATGTATGAGAGACAACACAAAACTATAATGAGGCTAAAATAAAACCTTTAAGGTTTAAGGGGGTGATTTTTTGCTTTAACCATCTTTTCAATTAACTGATACCAATCACATTCTCTAAGAAGATGCTCTAACGTTAGAGTACAGTGAGTAGGAGTAGCCTTCAGTAAGTTACTTCACTTTTCTGTGCCTTGATCTCCTCATCTGTTAAATTGTGGAAATCACAGGGTTTTCATGATGATCAATTAATTATCTTATCACAGCATGGGCACTTGTTAGGCACTCCAGTTTGAAGCTATTGTTATCACTATTACAATATTGTGATTTGTAAATAATTAATAACTACCAAAACTTGAAGTGGATTGGACCCTCTGAAGAGCCAACACAGTTCTATGTTGTTAATCTTGTGCCCCTTGAAGGATTTAGTTCCTTGCATCCAAAGTCTTCAGTTTTATGCCATCAATTATTCAAAATCTTGTCATGTTTTAATTGACTTTGTATTTGACTGTTACTTTCTTTTATGTCATTATGTGTTTTTTAGACTATTTCATAATATTTTCTATCTTAAAATACTTAGGATATTTTGTAAACAAAAGAAGCCTATTTCTTCACTATATTGTTAAATACATCCAGCCTCTTGATTGCATATTTGGTATTGGGAATTTATTTTCATCTTGACAGTATTCTTCTATTAAGATTCTCTCAAACCTGCACAGAGCTGAGGTCCTGGGACCTCATATCACTGGCACTGGAGCTTGAAAGTTAGATACACTGTTTATTAGTTTCCCTACTATTTCTTTCTTCAGTTCTTTTTTTTTTTCCTTCATTTACATGGAGTGCATCCTCAAATAAATTTATCGGAAGAGAGACATGGGATATAAATAACGAGTCCTTTGCATTTCTAAAAATGTTTTTATTTTGCCCTAATTTTAATTAATGATTTGACCGAGCATACATTCCACAATGGAAATAATTTTCTTCAGAATTTTAAAGGCATTGTTTCCTGATCTTCTAGCATTCTAGAATTGCTTAAGAGAAGTCCGAAGGTAGTCTGCTTCTAGATCTTTTTATGGTGTTCTCTCCAGCCTTGAGTTTTGAAATTTTACCACAGTGTAGCTGGTTGTGTGCCCTTTTTCATTCATCTTGCTCAGCATTTCCTAGGACATTTAATCAAAAGCTTTTGTCTGTCTGCCACTCTGGGAAATGTTATTTTATTTTTATGATAATTTCTTCTCTTACATTTTCTCAGTTTTCTTTTGGGGGAGCCTCTTAGATTAATCCACTATGTTTTCTAGTGTCTTTATTGCTTTTTGTCTCTTTGCTCTACATTCTCAGTGTCTTGGAAGGCAAAAGTTGACCTCAGAATACTTTAGTATGGGTGAGCCTCTTGTTCCCACCTCCTGTTTCTCCAATCTTCTTTCTCTTTACATGACCCTTTCACCATTTTCCAGCCTCTTCCTCACTTAACTATGGACTT